CGTCCACAAGACATCTCCAATGAATAAATTATACAGTCGGGAAATGGACCAACTTTCATGGTACTTCATCACATTTATTGTTCAGCACAACCTAGAGAGCACCTTTCGGTATGGTGTCAATTCAACCCTCGACTCGACTTTCTCTTCCACCTGTTATGAGCTCTCATCGTTTCACTCCTCGACTGTTGAGTCTATTTTCTAAGCGACCTACAAAACAATAGTCATAGGAAATTCACCAGCAAATGCCTGTCAGCGAACACAACAAGAGAACGCCCATATATTAGATCAAGCGCCGCCCACAATTGAATGAGTTTCATCGGTGGACATGAAAGAGGGTTCCCAAGTACTTGTGCGGAATGTGTATCGGCAATACAAAACATCCCAACTTCTGGGTTATTTGTAGTGCCGCACATAACAGAGTCGCCAGGATTAGACGCAAGGGTCATATATGGAATTCCTTTGTTTTCCATTTGCGTATATATCTCTTTGTCTAGGCCAAGGGAGCATACTCAACATTTGAATGTGAGTACGCCCAACTGCATGGTTGCGTCCCGAACTCTTTACCTGTGCCATTAACGACCCTTTCACATTCAATTTCAATACAAATATACGATGATCCGGGTAGAAAGATGGGCGTTCCTCAGCAAACTTAACCCTCCTGCCTTCATCTGCCTGTGTGCACACTTAGGCGTTCCCCCTCAATCTCGTGAGCACCTTCGATATCCCACTTGTAGATCACTTATCTCTCTATCTAGAATCTCAGGACACATAAACTTACCTTTTTGGCCGAATAAATGTCCAAACTAACACTGAATATCTCGAAAGATTCCCATTTTCTCGGCGGGTCCGAGGATGATGACAAGACACCAACGTCGACGAGGTAAGCTTCTTTGCTACCAGTATTTTGTGTGAAAGCTCAACGGCATTAGTCGTTCCGGTAGAATAATCGAGAGCAAGCGCCAGAGTGAGTGAGGCGTCCTTTCCATATAAATCACTGTATTCTGACAATACCAGGCAACCTTCCCCTGTCGGATGAAGGTGAGGATATGTATTTAGATGCCACCCCTCCATCCTCGAATCCTATGGCGTCCCACGAACGGAGAGGCATTATAAGAAAGGCACCCGAATTCGAGGAAGAAACTAGTCATTCACCGACAGAAAGTAATGGAAGAAATGGGGTAAGGTAAATTTATGGACTAAAGAAGGGCTAATTGAGGTTATTATTCGATCTCTAGGACTATTTAACAAGAATAGATGAGGAAGACGACAAACTGGTATGTCAACTCACCTTATCCCTGTATTTCTACTCACCCTTGGAACAGTATGCATACGTAGCGTGGTTCCTGGAGTGGCTCTCCGATGAAGAGTTCCTCGAACTTTTTCCTTCGAGAGAAGGTGTCACCAGGGACTTCTCAGGTTTCATGCAGAGATTCTACTCAGATGATGAACTTTACGAAATACCCGAAGAGCAGTCCTGGCCTCAGGACGGCACCACTATCCCCGGGGTTGGACGCACAAATTCGGATACTTTTATTTCACGAGCTATAGGCAATACAAAGAAGCGAAAAGTATCAAGCGCATACAAGCCGAATCCTCATTATTCGATACGGGCCAAAATCTTGAATGCGGTTGAGAAACAAGCTTTGGACCCGACATGGCCCTCCGCTGAGCGTACAGGGGGTCAAAATGATGAAATCATAAAAAGATCCATTCTCTCTCACAAGATTTCAACGAACGTCGCATGGGCTCTCTATGAGGAGGTTAAGAAGGAAAATTCCACTGATCCTGTTAAAGCTTGGCTAAACAAGCTAGGAATACCTTGTTCCGGCAGCTTTCGACACGGGAATACCAAATCTGGTGACCCTGATGATCTCTCAGAGGCATCAAGTCTTGCTTCTCTGCCACCCTCGAGCAAAGCCAAGACACAAAATTCAGTTCAGACAAAGAGTTCGACCCGCACACATATTTTGGCACGCGAAAAGGGTCATGCGACCACCGAAAGTGGAGAAAAACCTCCCCAAACAAGGTAGAGTCGATCCATCGTAGAACTCACTTAACTGAAAAACAATCCAAAGCCACATGACTGTAGAATCCATGAAACGTGATTGTGGCTGGTATATCTCTGGGGATCACAAGGAAATGGAACCTAAAGGATTTCAATGGCGACCTGTAGAGGGGGGTGAATCGGTCCTTCAGCATGACATCTCATCTCCTCCTCAGCCAATCCAAGACCTTAAAGGTAGTCGCAGAACAAGGCAAAATTGGATTGGATTACATTCCGACTTGTTTGAGGAGATTGATAGACA